ACTACTACTACTACTACTACTACTACTTATACTAATGCTATTACTAGTACTACTAATAGTACTACGACGATACCTACGTGTACCATACCCAGAGCTACTACTACTACTACACCTCGAACTCCTCATGCTACCACTACATCTACTTCAACTATAACCGCTACTACTAGTATTACTATTACTACTACTACTACCACTACTACAAGTACTACAATACAACTACTACTACTACTACTACTACTACTACTACTACTACTACTACTACTATTACTACTACCACCACTACTCCTCCTGCGACGCATGCCGACCGTCGTGCGTTTCAGGCGTGTCTCCGCGTGCCCTCGCATACATATCCTGTTTCTTCTTCTTCCTGCTTCTTTGGCTATCTTCCTACATCTATCTTGTACAGGGAGCCGAAGAGGAGGAAGAGGAGGAGGGAGAGAAGGCGATGGGAGGCAAGACAGAATGCTGTCGTCCTCGAGTCCTACACGTAACCGACTCTGACGACTCACACGAAGGCGACGTCTCAGACGATGACAGCGGCGACGACGACGACGACGACGACGATGCTTACGATGACGACGATCACTTCGACGACGAAGATTAAATGGACGACGGCGTCGACGATCCAGCGATCCTTCCCGACCAGTTCTGCAGCGCGCACGAGGCACAAGTAACTACCCTGCTCAGGCTCGCACCTCCGAGCTGCACCTGAGAGGCAGGTTCGCCCATCAAGTCGGGCGCGGGCAGCAGGCGGCAGGTTAGGAGGGAGAGGTGGAAGAGGAGCACAAGGGGAAACTCGCCTCCAAGATCTGCCCCCATCGAACAGATCTGAGGATTTCCGTTCGGCAAGGGTATAATCACGGAACCCAGAGTGTGCACGTCCTGGACTAGAATGCAGGTGGTCTGCGTCGTTGGGGCCCCTCGCCCTGGCGTGAGTCGTTCGGGCCCCTCCTTGCGTGAGTCGTTCGGGCCCCTCGCCGAACGACTCGCACATCGAGGAGGGGCCCGAACGACTCTGACCAGGAGGGGGGGCCCGAACGACTCGCACCTGGAGGAGAGCACCGAACGAATCCACTGCACCGTGGTAGCGGCCACATCCACTGAAAAAACTGCCTGATATCCCAGTGTAGCCAAGTAACGATACCACCCATTACTGATTCAGCGGTGTATCACAAGGTAGAGTTGAGGCAACATCCCGTACGGAAGCTGAGTTGAGGCAACATCCAGTGTCAAGACTCGCTCTACCCAGAGTCATAGTGGTAAGTATTGCACTCGCCAATCGTGGAGTAAAGAGCATACACCATCTGAGCCCAATGCCTTAAGTGTTCCTCCAACAAGGTCATACGGGCGTCCAGAAACGCGTGGCTCGCCGTTATTCTGGCGTGCCTCTCCTGCCTAGTAGGTGCAGGACCAGGCGCGGGTGGCGAACGGCTACCCCTGTGGGCCTGCGCGCCAACCACGTCATCAGACCGAGCGGTGGTAGCCTCGGAGATTTCGTCAAGAGCCTGGCGACGGTGGAGTGTCAGAGCTTCCTGCTCACGTCTCGTCGCGCTCTTGGTGTTGCTGAGGCGCTCATCGGGCTTGTCTGGGTACATTGTGTGCGTACTGGAACGGGGGCGACTCGCCAACGGATATCCACGTACCCTTGGGATGCTCTTGCTGCGGCTACGATTGCGCGCCCTGCTCTGGATGCGTCTCCGCGGTATGCCGGTGACTCGGCGCCTCCGCGGAGAAGAGTTCCTGGCACCAGCAGGTGCAGAGGTACGGGATGCGCAAGCTGCGTTCGAACGCCCAGTCTTAGAGCGCCACTCCCATAAGTTCCAAGGGTTAGGATCCGCCTTCCATAAATATAGTTCATGAGCAAGCACGTCATCGATGTCGGGCTTCACCTCTTGGGGGCGCGCACGATCCTCGGAGCGGCTGCGAAGAGGGGAGTCACGGCGTGCACGACGGAGCGCACGATCCAAGTCACTCCGAAGTTCCTCGCCACTACGAGTAGCCATCGCGCGCGAGGTCGAGTGAGTACGTCCGCGCCGAGCTAAGCTCACTGCATAAATGGTAGGCGGAGAAAACTCACAGCAACAGGGAGATTCCTGGGGAACGGCCGAGAATCCCACCAGCCCTTTGGGCGTGAGTGGTTTAGAGAGCTACCTCTGTTCTCAACCCCCCTTTCTCCCCCTTCGGGGACGGGTTTACCCCTCCCCCTACCCCCTCCCCCTGGGCCTGGAGAGGTCCTTTCGCGGGTCGTTGGAAGGGTCTTTTTCGACTCCTGGGAGGGCTAAAAAACGACACCCTTCACGAGGATTCTGGCCCCGACGGGGGCGGGCCGAACCCCCCCCCCCCCCCCCGTTCTTTGATCGATCGCCCGAAAGTAGGCCCCAAGATACCTCCCAGACTCCTCCCAAAGAGCCCCAAGAGGCCCCAAGAGGCCTCCAAGAGGCCCCCAAGAGGCCCCCAAGGGGCTCCCAAGAGGCCCCAAGAGGCTCCCCCGAGGCACCCAAGACGCCCCTGGAAGCCCCTGGGGCCGCCGAGAGGCCCCCAAGACGCCCCAAACGGCCTCCAAGAGGCTCCCAAGAGGCCCGAAGGGGCCCCCCCAAGGTACCCAAGACGCTCCTAGAAGCCCCTGGGGCCGCCAAGAGGCCCCCAAGACGCCCCAAGAACGACTCACACCAGGACGAGGCGCCCGAACGACTCACACCACGAGGAGCCCGAACGACTCACACCACGACGAGGGCCCCGAACGACTCACACCACGAGGAGCCCGAACGAGTCACACCAGGAGGAGGGGCCCGAACGACTCACACCAGGACGAGGGGCCCGAACAACTCACACCACGAGAAGCCCGAACGACTCACACCAGGACGAAGAGCCCGAACGACTCACACCACGAAGAGCCCGAACGACTCACACCAGGAAGAAGGGCCCGAACGACTCACACCAGGACGAGAAACCCCAAACGACTCAAACCACGAGGAGCGCTTTCTCTCCCTCCTCCTCCGCCTCGTCCTTCTCCCGCTCCCACCACAAGGAGGATGTACAAGGAGGCGGGAGGAAGGAGGAACAGGGGAGATATGCGGGGGCAGGCGGAAACACGCCTGAAAAACACGACTGTCGGCATGCTTCGCAAGAGTTGCTGTTTTGAGATGGGCTGGTGGAGATACGCGAAGCGTGAAGAATTGGAATATGGAGATCCAAAGTACCTTCTTTCACGACCGATGGGCCAAATCCCGAGGTTCGCGAAGAGTCGTGCATCGGTGCTGTACCTCCCCTCCCTGGCGCGCGGGGAGCACCGGGGGCATTGCCAGAGGCGCAGCGCGATGCTCCGAAAATTCACGGTTACGCCGACGCTTCCTCCCATGAGACAACGACGCCACCCTGCGCACTGAAGAGGGAACGAAATGGAGGCACTGGCTTTGGGGAGTGGGGAACGTGGACCTGGAATCGGCGATGCCTCGCCAATAAATCGGCAGTAGGGGATCGTGCCTGTCGAGCTCCAATCGGCGACCGACTGGCGATTGGTAGTCGATTCGTCCCCCCTAAACACGCCCCTCCCTCACGCTGCCCGTCCTCATCGCACCCCTCTTCCTCTCCCTCCTTCTCCTCCTCCTCCCTCCTCCTCCTCCTCCTCCCTCCTCCTCCCTCCTCCTACTCCTCCCATTTCTGATGACCAAATGCCCCCTTCGCACCCCCAGACGTGTCCGCAGGCTGGGCCATGCGTTTCGCGTGAGGCTCCCTCATCACTTACGACCATAACCTTGGAACTCCGCAGCAGCTTCAAGGATGGAGGGCGGCCTGTTGTCAAAGTGGAACTTTCGATATACGGCGCCCGGACAACAAGTGTCCACACCCAGGGCGGCAAGACACTGCGACGTGATAGCAACCGCAACAGCATGATGCACCTGCCTCGCACCCTCCCCCCGAAAACCCAAAGTTGAAGTGTCCACAGTTTGTCCCTGGCGCGCGGCCTGCCGCCTAACCCCGCCACCGGGGAAAGGGGGGTGTACATATTCGCGCGACGTGATTTGGCGACGAATTGTCTTGGTGCGACAAGTGTGGACACTTTTTGTCCGTCCACCGTGGTTATTAAGCCTTTGATTGGTGCTATGTTGACGAATGTGTTGGGTATGTTGATGATGCTGACGATGTTGGTGACGTTGGCGATGTAGACGATGTTCATGGTGTTGTTGATATTGATGGTGTTGATGAGGATGTTGATGATAATGATGTTGACGATGCTGACGATGCTGATGATGTTGGTGCTGTTAAAAATGTTGATGATGGTGTCGTTGTTGATGCTGATGATGAGGGCGATGTCGGTGATGTTGGCGATGTCGATGATGTTGGTGATGTTGAGGATGTCGACGATGTTGATGTTGATGATGTTGATGTTGTTGATGTTGGTGGTGATGGCGGTGCTTGGCGCTGTTCCTGATGGGAGGTGCCAGGGCTGCCACCTGCGACAAGTAACTCGGACTCCCAGGCAGAGGGGGAGGGGGGCGAACGGCGGGGATTGCCGGCGGGGAGTTAGGGGGGGAGAAGAAGGGGGAAGGGGAAGCCAACAAAAAAAAACTTGGCTAGGTATAACGTTTTCCTAGTCTGTCGCGAGGTCGGCAGGCCGACGTGGCCTGGTAAAGGGATCCTGCCCGAGCGCGACCGAGATCTGCGCTGCCGTTGGAAAAACTCGCATCCCGCGCCCCCATGCCCCGACGTGGAGCGGGCGGAGGCTGGCACCGCTAGATAGAGCTGGATAGAACTGATAGAACTGGTGATAGAACTGGCCATAGAACTTGTCCATAAAAAAGGGTCAGGCCTAGAACTGGTCGGCCCAATTAAAGAAAACTTAAAGCATATCACTAACTCTTCTTCTAAACGCGACCAGTTCTAGGCCGGCCCCTGTTTCTAATGGGCCAGTTCTATGACCAGTTCTATGGCCAGCTCTACCCAGTTATACCAGTTCCGCGCCGTCGGAGGCGACGGCGGGGGGGGAAGCGCGCCAAGCCTCACTCCTCAAAGTCGGCGCCCTTCGCGGTCCGCAACGCGCCGCAGCGCCGCTTCATCGATTTCACGAGCGGCCCCAGGGTCGCCGACGGGGTCCGCATGATGGTGCGCTTCAGGCGCTGGATGAAGGCGGCCCGGCTCTCCCTCTTCGACGGGGGAAACTTGGGCTCCTGGGCCCTCAGTTGCTTATTGACAATGGACCAGAAGCCGTAGTCAAGCGGGTTGAGGTCCGGGCTGCGCTTGGGGAACTTCAGGCACTTCACTTCTCCTTGGCTTGAAGTCGCCCCGCGCTCGCCCAATGGCCCCCCCCCGCCCCCCACCCGCCCGCCGCCCCAAGCGCGCGCCCGCGAAGCCGCGGGCCCGTCGGGCCCGCGGCTCCGCGGGGAGCACTCCCGCCACGGGGCCACCGATTCGACAATCGAAGACGAGCCTTCGCCTCGATGCTGAGCTTGGCCTTGTAACCCGTAGGGTCGTTGTCCTCCAAGATGAGGAACGACTGCTGCTTCGGGTAGGCCTTGCGCAACGCCGGGGCCAAACCCTCCCGGTACATCCGCGCCGCCGCCCCAGCGTTCCAGCGCCCGTCCACGACGTGGCACATGAGCACCTTCTTTGCGGAGAGGGCCACGGCGACGTTCACGTTCTTGCCGAAGGAAGACATGTTGCCCTTTCTCGGTTTGACGTGGCCCTTGGCGAGCCCGCTGCCCTTCGACCTGTAGGAGCCGCGAGCGGCGCGCTTCGCCGCGTACACCCGCGCACTCGCGGTGGGGAACGTCGGGAAGCACACATTGTCCATGTAGGCGTGATCTTGCTCGCCCAGTAGGACGCCGGCTTCGAAGAGCGCGCCTTCGCGAAAGCGAGGCGGCCCTTCACGTCCGCATCGGCGCGCACCTTAGTTGGCCACGCACGCTGAGGGGCGAGGCACAGAAACGCCGAGACATTCGATCGCTAAACCTGACCATGGGCACTGAACACTAATCTGGACCCGCAACGGAACCAAGAAACAACGCATCCTACCTGGAGTCCCTGGCATGATAAGCCGGGAACCGGCTTCTCTCGCATCGGGTGAAAGCGCACCCCGCGAGCACGCAGCGCCCGCCGCGCTGTCCTCTCGCAGCACTTCATCTTCAAGGCGGTCATGGCCATGTTCAAGGCCACTGGGTACTTAGAATCAGCAACCTTGGTCATCTGCTCAATGGTGCACACAAGCTTGTCGACCATCTCTTCCGTGATCTTGGCTGGGCGCCCCAGTTGGGCGCCGCCTGTGGAAGGGCGGAAGTGGCGGCAGATGGTAGACTTGTCGCGGCCCATGATGGCGGCAACCTGCACGGGCGTCTTGCCGTTGGTTTGCAGACCTGAGTCTCCGCGGCACTATCAGAATCTGCGACGTCGTCGCAAGAACGAACATACTGAATAACTGCCATTACGGAACATCGCCGCGCGATCGGGCAAGTTGGCGGGGCCGGTCACGGGCATCTACTGTGGCGGAAGCGGGCCGCGATGATCGAAGATCGGAGCGCGATCGCGTGCCTAAGCGGGTTGGCAGTGGCTGATTGCTCCAGCTGAGGCTGTGACTGTGAACGCGGTCGATGTCCCGCTGGGTAAGGTTCGACGCACCCGCGCGCGAGCCGCCCATGGGTGCGTTGGCAAACAGCGCGGTGTGAGACTCAGTCGCAAGGCTCGTCGGTAGAGCCCGGCGTCGGCCTCGTAATTTGAGCCAGACGGTGGCGGGCCCCCAAACCCTGTCTCGAAGTGGCCATGTAGGTTGTCCCGTGGCTGTCCCGTGGGTGGTCCCACGGTTGTCCCAGGGGCTGCCCCGTGGGTTGTCCCGTGGTGGTCCCGCGGGTTGTCCCATGGGTTGTCCCGCGGTGGTCCTGCGGGTGTCCCGTGGTTCCGTATACGCGAACATCGTCATCTAATTGCGTGTCGTGCTGGACGCGTAAGCACGCCCCAACACACCCTCAAATGCACGCACACATGTAAGCACGAGAACACCATGAAAACACCAAACACATCTAATCCGGACGTAGCGCCGCGCACAACCATCTTCAAAAGCTGCAGCACTTCTGAGGATGGAGGGCGGGCCGTTCAAAAATATGGCAGTCGCCTCAGCGCCGCGGACCTTCGTGTTAAAAGCTCGCAGCCGTCTTTTAAGGATTCGTAGGGTCGAACTTCGAGGAATGGTTCTCTAAAGCGACTCAGGACTGTCAGGACACGGCAGTTACGTTAATACGTGGGGTTGAACTCCCAGGACTGGAGTCTGAGGGCGATTCAGTATTGATAGGACATAACAGTCACGTCGATTCGCGGCGTTGAAGTCCCAGGATTTGTTTCCCAACCATCCTGTGGTGTTGGGTCCTCGTATTGAAGAGACAGCGCCCCGCGTCTCACCTCCCGCTGCCCTCCTCTCTTCTCCCATCATCGTCATCATCATCATCATCATCATCATCATCGTCATCATCACCACTAGCATCATCATCGTCATCATCATCGCCATGGCCATTAGTTTCCAACCATCCTGTGGTGTTCGCATGGCGGCCCCGCCCCATTCTGGCGCACCCCTCACACGGTTCGTGGCCCCATAGGGAGCTCCACCGAAGGCCCCAGTGGCTGCGTTCGCATGGCGGCCCCGCCCCATTCTGGCGCACCCCTCACACGGTTCGTGGCCCCATAGGGAGCTCCACCGAAGGCCCCAGTGGCTGCGTTCGCATGGCGGCCCCGCCCCATTCTGGCGCACCCCTCACACGGTTCGTGGCCCCATAGGGAGCTCCACCGAAGGCCCCAGTGGCTGCGTTCGCATGGCGGCCCCGCCCCATTCTGGCGCACCCCTCACACGGTTCGTGGCCCCATAGGGAGCTCCACCGAAGGCCCCAGTGGCTGCGTTCGCATGGCGGCCCCGCCCCATTTCGGCGCACCCCTCACGAGGATCGTGGCCCCATAGGGAGCTCCACCGAAGGCCCCAGTGGCTGCGTTCGCATGGCGGCCCCGCCCCATTCTGGCGCACCCCTCACACGGTTCGTGGCCCCATAGGGAGCTCCACCGAAGGCCCCAGTGGCTGCGTTCGCATGGCGGCCCCGCCCATTCTGGCGCACCCCTCACACGGTTCGTGGCCCCATAGGGAGCTCCACCGAAGGCCCCAGTGGCTGCGTTCGCATGGCGGCCCCGCCCCATTCTGGCGCACCCCTCACACGGTTCGTGGCCCCATAGGGAGCTCCACCGAAGGCCCCAGTGGCTGCGTTCGCATGGCGGCCCCGCCCCATTTCGGCGCACCCCTCACGAGGATCGTGGCCCCATAGGGAGCTCCACCGAAGGCCCCAGTGGCTGCGTTCGCATGGCGGCCCCGCCCCATTCTGGCGCACCCCCCACACGGTTCGTGGCCCCATAGGGAGCTCCACCGAAGGCCTCAGTGGCTGCTCTCGCTTGGCGGCCCCGCCCCATTCTGGCGCACCCCTCACACGGTTCGTGGCCCCATAGGGAGCTCCACCGAAGGTCCCAGTGGGTGTGCCCGCACGCGCCCCGCGCACCCATTTCGGCACACTCTTAAGCTTCCAGCAATAACTTGCTCAGGGAAGCTCTACGAGTTACTAGCTCCACCCCGCGCAAGAATTCCTCTAGCTCATCGATGCCGAAGAGCGCTACGAGGTATTTTAGAATCCCCACAGCAGCTCGCCCGACCCGGCAGCGGGTCTGGATGCGCTTTCCACGCATGCCTGCACGCGCGCAGGCTCGCGTGGAAGCGTTCCTGGCAGCGTTTCAGAAGGGCTGCAGGGCAGCCCCCCAGAGCTCTCCAGGACAGATATACCTCCTTGAGCTCTTAACTCGTAGAGCTTCCCTGAGCAAGTTGTTGCTGGAAGCTTAAGAGTAATACCTTGTAGAGATCTCATGGTAACAGAGCTAGAGGAATTCGGCGACAGGCTGGAGCTAGTTGACGAATTTTCGAAAAAAGGGACGCGATCATACCATCCGCGGCCTGGCTCAGCCGATTTTCCAGCTCTAACCATTCGTTTGGGCTGATAAATGCGCAGAGTGAAGCTTTACATCACAGAAGTTGCCTCTCGAATTCTGAGCTCATTCCGTCGACAAATTCTTCGGAGCGAAGCCAGGAACCTGACCGCAGATTTACATAGAAAAATTGGAACTTGAAGATTTGGAGAAAATCTACTACGAAGTTCTCTGCTTCGATTCTAAGCACTCTTACGCGTAAAAGGAGCTCTACGAGGTTCCCGGCGGTGACCAGGTTGACGGTTTACCGCCAGCGCCAGTACCTCCCAGAGCTCTTCGGCAAGATGAGCTGAGAGGAATTCGGGCGCAGGGTGGAGCTAGTTGGCGCAGCCGACCTTAAGAGACAATGTGACGACTTGGGGTCGGTTTTCCTATCTTTGAGTAAAATTTGAAAGTTCGTTCTAAGAACAGGTACTTTTCCCACCTGTAGCGGATTATGCCGCGTCTGCCAGTTAAAATTTCAGGTCCGTAGCTGCAATATAACTGGGCGCCGGCGGTAAACCGTCAACCTTTCTTACCGCCGGGGGACTCGTAGAGCTTCCTGACAACATAGAATGTCGAAAAAAATTGCAGAGGACAAATAATTTTTCAGCCCAAGCGATTCCAGACCTTCCGATGCAACAGCGGAACGCCTCTGATGCTTCTGGATTGTCTTCTGTACGAGCTTGGTAGCTCTCCTACAGCCCCAGAAACGTGCGTAAATCGACAGCACCTCTCAAGATGACTCGAAGAAAACGAATAGTTTGGCAAACCCAGCTCGAATATTAGACCGAGTTCAGACCTCTGAATGCGACAAGCGAACGCGTCTGATTGCTGTGATTACCAGCTGTGCAGCCCCCCTGCAACCCGAGTTAAGCACAGAACACCGACAGCACCTCTCAGGATGACTCGAACAATACGAAGAGTTGCGGACCTAGTTCGCGCAGCAGACCGAATTCAGAGCTCTCGATTCGACAGACGAACGAGCCTGATGTCTTCAAATCGATTCCTGCGACCACCAGCACTGTAGCCACCGCACAGCCCGAGTTAAGTGGAGAAAACCGAGAGCATCTCTCGAGATGACTCGAACAATACGAACAGTTTCGCGATTCTAGATTGGGCAGCAGACCGAGTGGAGAGCTCTGGAATCGAGAGACAAACGCGACTGATGATTCTGAATCGATTTCTGTAAGTATGAGCTCTGTAGCTGTCCTCTAGCTCGAGTTAAGTACAGAAAAGCGAGAGTGCCTGTCAAGATGACTCGAATAATACGAATAGGTTTGCGGACCTAGCTCGGCTTGCAGACCGAGTTCAGACCTCTCGATGCAACAGACAAACGCGCCTGATCATTCTGGATCGATGAAGTGTGCTCACCAGCTCTGTTGCTGTCCTCTCTCTCTCTCTCTCGAGTTAATTTCAATATACCGACAGCGCGTATCAAAATGACTCGAAACGTCCGATCCCGCCTGGGCGCTTTTTGGGAGTAAAAGGCACCCGATCGAGCTGAGATCAAGATGGCGAGGGGGAATATGAACGAATATCACGGGGAAAAGTACTAGAGCTCTAACTTTTCAACCGAGCAAAAGTCACCAAATGGTCCGTCGAGATGTTTCTTGCCAAATAGCTCTCCAGCGCCCCGGAATTACTCTTAATTAAGCTTCCAGCAATAACTTGCTAAGGGAAGCTCTACGAGTTACTATCAAAAGACTTGAGGGAACCGTCGGCCGTTTCGAGTCACTTGGTAGCGTCCAAAAACCGGAGAGCGAAGAGACCCTCGGGGACGGAAGATCTTTACTGGAGAGCCCCGGGAGGCTCCCCAGAGACGCTTGT